CAAGTCTGAATTAACTCCAGGGGATGCTGGCCCATGCTGCCAGATGGGCACGGGAGCGCAGGGTCCTGCCCATGAAGAGGAAACTCCAAAAGTGGAGTGGTTGGAAACTCCAAAAATTTAGTGGTTCTCTTTAGAAGATACATCTCATATTAATACTTATGCCTTATAGGGCTAATAATTAGTAACAGAAGCAAACTGCAGTGAGAGAGGAGCTGTGCAGGCAGCGTGGAGCTGCGGGTAGCTGGGTGCTGCAGCACTTGATCAGCCCTCCCCGATACGTGTGCTTCCAGACAGGGGAAGGCACCTGCCGTCGCTGCGTTGGCACGTTTCAAACCTTTTAACTGAGCGCCAGTGAGCATGTGGAGCACGCCATTAGATCTTTGTATTTTAATTAACTTGATCATCATCAGTGACGTGGTGAGACATGAGGAGTCGCTCTGTAAATTCCAGTTCCCATTAAACCAAAGCAAACTCTGTTTAACAGGGCTGAACACTAAGCCTTTGGGCCAGCGGTGCTGTTACCATCAGTGACCCTGTGAAGCTCCCTGTGGTCTCTGCATCACCGGTTCTGCGCAAAGCTGGGACCTGAGAGAGCCTGAACACACATCCAGGTTTCGGGGGGTTGGTAGTGTTCGGCAGGCGGCTGCATGACCAGGGAGAGTCACTTGTCTCCCATTCCTGAGCATCAGGTCCAGCAATAATCCTTTTCCTGGGATGCCCGCAAGAAGAAGGCAGAACCTGCACATGCACGTCGGGGCTGACTTGCCTGGGCTTGGGCAGGCATTGTGCCCTGCACGCCGGCAGCACCGGGAATGCGACGGCTTGGCTCTCGGCGGGCGGTATCGTATATACTGCATTGTAGATAACCCAGAGAGATTTCTCCAGTCACCACCAGCATCCTTATCAAACTAAGTGCATTTCAGTGGCTGTCAATACAGTAAATGACCTGTTCAGGCTGCCGCTTTGATATGTACACAGAGCATTAATCTTTGCATTTTTATGCCATGCTAAAAATAGCAGCTCCTTTCCCCCGCCGTCCTGAGCATCCCCGGCTGGCCCTGTGTCAGACTATCACCTGTTGCAGCCAGCTGTTCAGCGAGCAGCTTGTGTAACTCGGCTTAATGAAGGCTTACAGTGCCGTCCCCGTGCCTGCTCAGACAGCTCTTTCCAACAGGAATATTCATTGCAGTTGGAGGATTTTTTTTTTTTCTCGACAGCTTTGAGCTTTCTCCTGTAAGAGCACTGTGCCCAGCCTGCCTGCGGATCCACCAAGGGCCTGGCGCTTTGCAAAGCTGAGCTGGACCTGGGCTTGTGGGAAGGAGAAGTTCAGTCCTTGGGCCAATGCACTTTGCACCAGCAACTTCTGTATATTTTAGGGGTTTGGGAGCTCCTTAGATGACAGTCCTGAAGCCTGACCGGAGCAGGCATAGTTTCAATGTTATTACTGCTGTCTGCATTAAATACAGACGCTACTGAATCCCCAAGCCCAGTCCTAGATTACAGTGAGCTTGTTTTAAAATCTGGGGACTGAGAGCTGTCTTTTCATGGAGTTATTTTCAGAACCTGACCTGAAATTTGGAGATATCCTCAGGGCATTGGGGCACATCTTTATTTTCAACGTAGTGGTGGGGAAAGTAAGGCAAAAGAGGCAAAAAGAACCGCTTTCTTGATATTTCCCTCTCCAAGCAATAAATTATTCCTTCTCCCAGTGGTGGCTCTGGAAGTGCCTCCAATGGTTGTGACTGCAGAGGACAGCCATTCAACTATGTGTCTGGGTCCGGAGAAACTCCAGGTTTATCTTCCTGCCCTGCCACAGGTTTCCTTCCCTTCCTTGGGCAAGGCAGGTAGGGTCCTGTTCCTGAGTGCGGCTGTGCATGAATTTCTTCCCTTGGTGCTTACAGACCGTGGAGCATCTGGTGCCACAGTTCAGCTGGTTACGTGATGGACATGATGGCTTTGCCCCAGACACATCACAGAGCACGAGGCACTCGATGCTCTGACATTAACTTACATATCGGGACAGAAGGCAGATAAAAGCCTTGCAGGGGCCATTGGGCTTCCCAGCTGGTGCTGGTGCAAGAGGAGGGTCGGGTCCTCAGGCTTTGCACAGCAGAGAAGCTGCTTGGAAGGGGGTGACATGCTGCAGCGGGTTGCTGTTTGCTTGTTTGTTTCTTTGCAGTGTCTTTCTGTGTTGACGTTTGTGCCGGGAGGTGGTATTTCGGGGAGGAAACGTGAGCTGTGCAAATACTGCAGTGAGCTCCAGCTCCCAACTTCGCAGAGATCTGTCAGCTGGCACCACAGGCTGCTTTTCATTCCCAGCTCGTCCTCTGCTTGCATGTCATTACGCGCAACACTGTTGACGTGTGCATGGCAAGTGTCATGCATATTGCCGCAGAGTTGCCAAGAAAAGGGAGAAGAGCTGACAGCCAGCGCCTGTTCGCTTTCTGTGCAGGGAGTTTGCAGCAGATGAGGCAGCTCCTCTCCCTGTCCCTGTGGTTGCGATTAGAGAGTGCTCAGAACAAATCTCACAGACCACTGTGGGATGTTCTCCGTTGCCGAGCCTGCCAAGGGGCTGCCCAGCACGGTGTGAATGTGGCACTGAAGTCTATGGCATGCTGAAGGCGTCCCGCGGCGGCGAGCAGCAGGCAGCCTGCCTGCATCGTCGGGCTCGGTTGCAAGGGCTTGGCTGGAGGATGTTTTAAATCAGGGGTTGCTCTGCCTGCAAATGATGCCCTGGGGAGTGGATACCTGCACAGAGTAGGTCAGGCATCTCATCTGAGCAGCCCAGAACCAGGATCCGATCTCTGTTGTGCCCCAGTACATCAGCAGTAACTGCTTCTGAGGAGTTGATGGCTGGAGGAGTCACTGTTGCTATCAGTATTTGGACCATGGTATCCATTGGACTTTGTTTTCCTCATGTAAAGAGTTAATTTCCATAGATTAATGGAAAAACTATTGCTGTAGGTAAAGGAAAGTTGCCATGGACCCATGCTGGGACCAGCTCTCAGCATGAGCCCATCAGTCGACTGGTGCAATGGGGCTGGAAGCAGAGAGCCCAGCCAAGACTGCCTGCATCGTCGGGGAAAGGGCAGCAAGCAAAGCTCGGCGACTTCTGGTCACCAAACTATAACTCATCCTTCCCACAGTCAGGTCCCAGGCCGGGCAAGAGGGGAAGCACTGGCGCAGAGCTGGGGCTTCCTCCAGTCCTCGGAGACTTCTGGAGGGACTTGACAGATGCCTCTGCTCCCGCTGAGCACTTCGGGCAGGGCACAGCAGGGAGAAGGCGCTGGCTGAGCTCATGTTTCCGAACGTAACTAGGACAGAGCATTGTGCTTAGATCCATCCATCCATCATTCAAAAAGTCTCATATTCACAGGGCGCAGAGTCCATGGCGGTGCCAAACCCAGCACCTGCGTGCTGCCCTCCTGCCTGCAGGGTGGAAGGAGCTGGGTCGGCAGCGTGGCAGAGACAGCAGCGTGGTGAGCAGAAGCCCTTGCTGTAGCCATGTCCCCATGTTTATCCCATGTCTCTGGTGCATCCTGCCTTTTGGGGGGTATGGGATGCCCCTTCGTGGCCATGGAGCAGGGGTGGGTTGGTGCCATGGTCCCCCGTTGCTGGCAGAACCACTGGCTCCAGGCAAGAGCATCGCTATTCGTAACAGCCCTGGTCCTGCGCTTGCATGTGCTTTCCACATCAGATTTCCCAGTTTCACAGGCAGGACAGTGTATTATTTCTCCCAAACAGGCTATTTCTGCTCTAATGCGGTATTCCTGTGTGAGCCTCTCCGCAAGCCCCCACGGGGAGAAACAACCCTCTAACATCACGGGGAGCAACACAAGGTTGATGCCGGTGGCTGTAACCGTAGGTCGAGTTAATTGACTCGGGAATCCAAACACATAGGAGGTTGCTGCCACCAGGCTGGTAGTAATGCAAGGTGGGAAGGAAGAAAGGAGCCACACAAAGTGGAAAAATGGCTTAATTTCTCATGGTGTGAGGGGGAATTGCAGAGCTCTTGAAAAGCAGGTGTGTTCCCGTGGAGAGCCCGGCACAGAGCCGCCCGCTCGGTGCTTCCCCGGGGCTGCTCTGCAGCGTGGAGCCGTGCAGGACACAGGCTGGTTCGTACCAAAAAGCATCAGTGGGTGTTCAGGAAGAATGAGATGCGGTGGTAAAGCCTGCATCCGGCACTGATACCGGTTTTATTTCTGAAGGGATTGGTGTTACGTCATCAATCTGCAGGGAAAAATACACTGAGGCAGATGGAGGCACAGGCCAAAAACCAAATTCCTGATTCCCAGGCCGCTCCTTCCCCTCCTGATCACAGCCCGAGGCGGGTGGGCAAGGCATCGCGTAGGAAGCCAGCCCAGCGGGAGCCAGAGCCGTGCTGCAGCGGGATGTGGGCTGGCTCTCAGCGGCAGGCGCGATGCCGGAGCCATGCTGCTGTGCTCCCACCTTCCCACGCCGCTTTTCTCTGGGACACTCGGAAAAGTGCAAAATCCTGGCCTGTGAGCACCAGGCATCTGTCACAGTCAAAGGTGGATATTTCTCTGGTTCTACATGATTTTTATCTCTGAAGACCTCAAAAGCTTTCTTACTGTTTTGTTGGAGAGAAAGATTAATGAGATTCTCATAACTTGGTCGTGATACTGAGGATGTCCAGCCTTTTGCAGCTGGTTTGAGGTCCCGAGAAGGGGAGCTGGCAGCCGGGGTGTGCCCAGCATTTTCTGAAAATCAGCTTGTTTTGACGCATCCCAACTCAAACCATCACATAAGGTGCTCAGAGCAGCAGTCTCTGGGAAAGTGCTTGTGTCCAAGTTGTGGTCCTCAGAGCGTCCGAGGCACAGGAGACAACACCGAGCCCACAAACCCCCTTTGATTTTGCTGGGCTTGCTTTCCTCCTTAGAGTCAGGTTTGTACACAGTACGGTCGCACCCTCCATGGCAAGAAACGGGATGCTTTTGTGAGTTGTAGCTCGTTCTCAACCTTTCCTTCTTTTCTTCCAGGATCATACCCCAGCTGGAGAACTCGCCTTCACAGGTTTCACCGAGTAGCCTACCTGGCTCCGAGATTTCGGAAGCTACGAGGACTTACTTGCAAGGAGTGAGCCGCTATGACCTGGACGAGCTCGATGCTTGCTGGTTGGAACTTGTTAATATGGAGCTCAAGGAGATGGGTGAGTATTGCTGTTGTTTTTCTCCTTGCCTGGGCATCCCAGAGTGGGCATTCAGTCTTTTTAAGTAATGATGTGGAACAAAAAGCCTTGAAGAAGAATTTTTTGTTCAGACTCTCCAAAAGAGATCACATGGATTGCTGCAGTGCAAGATCTTGAGTGCATTTCAGTGCCTCTCACTCACGTACGGGTTTTGGGACGTGATCCAAGAAGAATGGGGCAAACCAGACGATGGTAGGGGCAGTGCAGCGTGCCCTGTGGAGCAGGGCTCTGGTTTGCAGAAGAACCGATAGGTCCAGATCACTCACGACCATGCTCTGATTTCATCACCATCGTCATCTCCCGTACTCCTCCCTGCAGCACCTGTACTGCAGGAGGAGGTGTTGGCCAGGATGGGTGCGTTGACCCTGACTCCTCTTCCTTTGGCCACATCTGAAAGCATTTCTCCAACATTTCTCCAGCTGTAGCCAGCTGGGCAGATGGAGTCAGAGGAAAGAGGTTTTCCTAATCAAAATGTGTAGTTCTCAGAAATGCTGGTCCTGGGCTGTCTTTCCTTTCCCAGGTGTGTCTAAATATCACAGCATAACATTGCCCACGTCACTGCTGTTATATCACTGCACATTCTTAAAAATCCATTAGTGCATTTCAGTTGAGTGCAAGTGCCTGGACGTGGAATTTGACCATTGGCACTAGTGCTTAGCATGGTCTGCTGGGCAGATCTGTTGGCAGACACGTGGGTGTGTAGTCCTGCCAGACTGTGGAGGGATTTTCCAGTCCTTGTTAGATAAGGGTTGCTGTGGTGTGGCTGCTGTTACACAGGTAAGAATAACAACGCAATAAAACATTCACCTTGTGACGTCAGTGAAAGCTGAAATGTGCCTACATGAAGCATCACTCCCCATTGCAAAGGTCTTTCAAGGGTGGAACAAGGTATGTTCTTCTGATGGACTCATGATTGGCAACCAAAGTTTGTTACCATGGTCTCCAGGACCTTGAGAAAGTTGTAGAGGCTGCTTTTAGAGTTGGGCTAATTATCTATTATACATATTCTGTATATTGGATTTTGCATAATCTCGGTGTTGTGGAGCCCATAGTATCACTAGCAAATCGCAGTCAGCTTTGCCCTCATTAACTGGTCCCTGCATGAGCAACCTCAGCTCTGTCCTTAGCACACCCAGGTTTTGAGATACTGGCAGCTACAGCCAAGTCCTTGGGCAGAGCACACGGGGCTCCTGGGCAAAGCCGAGCAGCTGGGTCCCACTCGGGTGCCTTGCAGAGGATCCACCCTCCTAACGCTGGACAGCTGCTGTTACTGCATCAAGAAACCAGCTTGTACCGCACTGGGTGTCCTTTTGACTCCACCATGCTTTCACTCTACCTCCTGCTGCATTTCGCTCTACCTCCTGCTGCATTTCCCTCGCTGTCTCCTCAGCTGGGTGGCCATCAGAGGTGTCTCTGCGCGCCAGAGAAGGGTTGTCTGTATTTCCACTTCCCCCTCGTATGTCATAAGTCTCTAGAAAGGCAGCGGGCAGATTTGACTTCTCCAGCTCAGTTGGGTTAAATTTGGCTCACTTTGTTATTTCTTCAAAGTATTAAGTTACAAATGCAATGTCTTGAAAGGCTTTCAGATGTGGAGCTTCCATGCTGATGGATAACTGGAAGGTTGAGCTGAGATGGGTGCTGTCGGGGCAGGGATGGCCCTGCCCCAGGCCAGACAGGAGTGGCTGTCCCCCACGGCTGTGAGCGGCACGTCACCTTTGGGCTGACGTGTGCCAAACCTGAGTGTGTTCGGGGAGAGAGGTGGCTTCACCACTGGCACTGCCTTGGGAACGTGTTGGATTTAGGGAGGGAGCCTGAGCATCATCACAGCCATATACCCCTGGTAGCCCCCCTCCTTGCAGGCATGTTGGGTAGGCTGGCATCGCGGCGCCCCAGCAAGCACACCCTGAACCTGATGGCGGGACACAGGCGATGCTTTGCTGCTGACCCTCCATGCAATTTTGAGCAAGCTATATTTTTCTTCCTCCAGCTTCTTGTATTCTATCACCTTTTTTAAGGATGGTCCTTGGGAAGTACTTGTACAGCACTGGGCTGGATGGGACCACGGTCTCTGACGAAGCCCCTGAGCCCTCCTGCCAGAACCAACTATAGATGGTAATAACGAGCCCAGGGGATTTCAGCAGTGGTAATGCAAAGAGCCTCACTGTCCATCAGCTGATTCTCCAGCCCATTTCTGTTGCTGAAAGAGCACTGTAATTACTGGCTGAGCCTTAAATATGAGAGTAGCTTTGAAAACCAGCATTTGGCCTGTGAAATCCACTGCGGATATGGCTTCAGCCCAACAGATTCTGGTATCTTGTCCCATCCCCCAGCCCTCCCGACTTCTCTAGCAGTGCAAGGCTAGTGCATGTTTTCCAGTGACTTGAAAGGGAAAACATGTGGCATTGATGAATAACCCGTCCCTGGCACCGCGGGGAGCCGGGGGTCTGGCGGGTAGGGAGCGGGATGGGTGCTGCTCCTGTCTGTGGGACCACGGTCACATCACCCCACGCTGGCCATGCCTGATGCTGCCCGGGGGGCCGGACCGCAGGGGCTGCGGGCCGTCAGGGCTGCGCGGGCAACGGGCTTCTTTGGGGGACGCATTTTCCTGCCAGTGGAAGTGATGGGTTTTGGGTGCACGTAGAGGAAAGCTGTTGCAGCAAATCTAGTGCTGCTCCTGGGCTGTGCCAGAGCGGAGGCTCTGCTCCCTCTGCTTCCCATATGGGAGAAGCCGTGCAGCGGGGATGGGACGTGGAGCTCGCTCGCGCCCTTCAACATCCAATGCGGAAGATTGTCGCCTGCCTAGGTTGGTCTGAAGGTAGTCCATAAATAGCGCTTTCTCTCGGAAGCCCTCGACATTAATGACATACTGAGATTTCCAAACGAGCTTTGCTAATCTCTGAGATCATTAACATGACTTAACTGGAGAATTGCAGCCTCTCCTCCTATTCAGAGAAGTCAGGAGTTATCTCCCAGCGTCAAGAGATATGCAGAAGTTTAAATTCCTCCTGGGTGTTTGGCTGAGCTGTTGTCACTGGGCAGTCCAGGGGCACAATGTGTCATTCCCAAAATATTTAATGACAAAGAAAGAGCCTGATCTCTGACTGGCTCTGGAGGAGCTGCGGGGAGGAGAGCTGGAAAACACCTATGAGATCATCCGTCTTGCTTTGCCGTTAGCACAGCGTTGATCCACGTAGCACATAGCACATGCCTTTTCCAGTCCTTTTTAGGTCACCCCAAGGATGGAATTTTATCGCCGAGATCAGATAAACCTCCAGATAGCTCCAGCTCTCTGCACTCTGCCGGCTCCTCTCCCAGTTAGGTGGAATTGCTCTGAAAAGCAGAAGTTTTTCACGTAAAACAGCTTTAAATAGTTTTAAACCCCTCAGTAAGATGCCTCAGTAGCTGTTACTGTACTCAGTAGAAATGCACTGTTTAAAGAACTTCGGTGCGCTAGAGATTAAATCAATATTTAAGCATGCCTAAATGTTTTATTTGTTGCTGCTGCAATATGAGATAGTAAAAAAAGTGAGTCTGAATGAAACCCTGAACCAGATTTATGTGTACGCCCCTCCAGGCAGCACAGGCCTTTCCTTTTAGAGGAAAATCTTTGTTTTTATATTAACATTTTATTCTGTCTTTTGTGATCTCCACTAAATCCAAGGCTATTGTAAGAGTGGGGCTAGAGAGACTTCAAAGGCCAAGGCTAAAAGATCCCTTTGCGGTGATCGGCACTTCATAAACACATGGAAAATCCTCAAGAAATTGCTAAAAAACGTTGCCGGAATCAATTTTGCTGAAGGCAGAGTCGAAGTTTCTAAGTATTCCCTTGACTTAATCCATATGGTGTACGCTGCTCACATATGCCCACCACAGCTTCTATCTTGGGAGCTGGAGGTGTTCCTGGTATTTTATGGCAGGAACATGCAAAGGTCACATTTATTGCTTTTGAAGCTCCGGGGGGAATTCATCACTGCATACTTGAGATATGTCTGTGTACTAATGAGATGATACCTCCCTCAGCAGAGGTGAGATTGGTCAAGTAGACGTGGAATAAACCAAAGTCGGTGGAGTAACCCTGGGGAAGATGTGCTCAATGGAGCAGAGGCTGCCATTAATTGTATGCTGTGGAGAGTGGCTGCGTGCCACCCAGCAGCGCCAAGAGTCCTTGTCCAAGGCTGCCCCCATCCCACTGCGTCCTTTTGGGATTTGGGGAGCCCCCTTTTCCCTCCAAGGCAGCACGCTGGCACTCCCTGGGCAGATCCTGTCCCCACCTGGCTGCCACCCACCCACGGGTGCCCATCACCATCACCAGGCTCTGTCTGCTCTGCAGGGCCACCCCAATATCTGTCATTTGAAGCTTTTCTGTTATTTTAATGACTTTGCGCGCAGTTCCCTGCCGGGCTGTGGTAGCAGAAGTGCAGCCCCATTCCCTGCCACTGCAGCCAGCTGGAGGGAGCCCCACGACAGGGACCGCTGCCCCCCGGTGCAGGGGATCCAGGGGCTGCCATCCCCCCGTGGGGATGCTCCCCAGCCCCGGCTGGCAGGAGGATGTAGAGAGTCTGTCCTTTTTGTAGTGGCATCCATTTCTTTTAACCACCAGCCTGGCTTCCCCCTTCCAAGTGTCCCCCCAGCCCGCAGCCATAAGGGACCGCTCCTGCCAATAGCCCTTCCACCCCCTTCCCCGCCATGCCCCTGCACCCAGGCTCACCCTGCTTGCCGCTCATCGCTTGAGAAAGCTTATCCCATTAATAATTCAGGGTCTGTTTGTTTGGATTTTTTTTTTTCTTGTTTTGAAGAAATCCTGCCAATTTAGGGCTGTTTTATAACATGTCTGTGCTGCAGCCCACAACAAACATCCGCGCATAGCCTGAAATCTTTGTTCTCCACCGAGATCATAAGCCCATTGCACAAGTAATGATTTCGGCAGCAGACCGGTTTGGTGCCTGGATAGATGAACCAGC